TGTGGGTTTAATGTGGAAGACATGTGGAAAGGGAAGACAATCATAGCCATGTCAACTGTCTACTAAAGTCTATAATGTATAAAGTAAGTTTTTTGGGACTCCGTTGGAGACTGACACTGACTTGGCTGCCCTTTGAACTGCTGGCCACCCCAGGAGAACCCTAGACACAGGTAGGCCCCTCATTAGAAACAGTGCTACCCATTTCTGATGTCTTTCCCTTCCCCATAGTCCACTGTAGTTACACCAATTGCTGAAATTCTAGTAATTTTCAACATGGTTATTTTAAAAAGACTTTCCTCTCCTCCTCAAAGTGGTATGCCTCAAAACAGAACTCTTAGAGCTCTCTGCAGCTCTCTCATTAGTGGCCCTTAATACACACTCTGTCTTGTGCTACAGTTACTTGAAAGTTTTATTTCTGCTGCTATACATTTGATAGACAGAAGACAGACTATATCATATTCATTCCTCTGCTTAATACCAACTAGGTACTTAGTAAATGTCTATTGAGTATGAATATAAGTTTAAATATAAATTAGTGTAAATATGTTAAAAGAACATAATCATTAAGTAAAGTTTTATACGTCAGTATTTGGTACTTTGTATTCTTTATGGGGAAGACCAGGTTGCCTGAGAAACTGAGCAGAGAATGGCAGAGTTCATCCAGCTCATCAAGTATTTGAGCTCCTGCTGCGTAAGAGGTAGTGTGGTACAGAAGAGACAGAGAGATCTGGATTTGAATTAAGCCTCATCTGCCCTTGGGCAACCTATTTATTTATTTAAGATTTTTAAAAGTGATTTTTAGAGAGAGAGGAAGGGAAAGGGAGAAAGAGAGAGAAACATCAATTGGCTGCCTTCTGCATGCCCCCTACTGCGTATCTAGCCAGCCACCCAGACATGTGCCCTGATGGGTAATTGAACTGGCAACCTTTCAGTGCGTAGGACGACACCCAACCAACGCAGTCACAATGGCTGGAGCCAACCTATTTAACCTCTCTGAGGCTCAGTGTCCTATTCTGTAGGTATTTTTAATGAAGTATAAAAATTATAATTATAAAATTTAGGTAGGCACTTAATAAATGGTAGTATATTAATAATTATTATGTCTAAAGTATATAAGGCAATTTAAAGATACCAAAAAAAATGGAAGAAATACCTATATTAAAAAGTCATTGTTATAGAGTTTCTCTTTTTCTAAAGGATTCTAGAGAAAAGGAATATTTGATGTTGAAGAAATTTACTAACTCTCCCCTTGCCAGAATCAAGCACATAAACTACAAACTTGATCTTAACTCTGGGTTTTGATTCAAACATCTTCTACCTCTAAAAATAAAGGGGTGGAAAAAAGTAGGTGTGAAGTTGTGAGTATGTGAAACAGTTTATTCTTGTTTTATTATTTAATTACTATATTATTTATTATTCATATTATTAACCTACTTTTGCCCACCCCTGTATATGATAAAGTTCAGCTCAAATGAGAGTGACATAGGTTTAAAAAGAAAAGTTTTCAAGTTGTCTACATACTACACCAATGGTTTTCAAACTCCTTTGCTCCCAGTTGCAAAGAATTGTTTAAAAAACAACTATGTAGCTCCCTGCACATGTTTAAGCTGAAGTCTATAATTTTCATCATAAGTTAAATAATCTTATTTCTTTTTACTTATTAATAGCAGATAAAAAACAGTAAATATTCCGTAAGATGAAATATTATGAGGATTTACTACTTCATAACCTTAAAAATGTCCCTCTCTCACAGTTGTCATTACACTTAAAATGTATATATATATATACACACACACACACACATATATACATACTAGAGGCCCGCTGCATGAAATTCAGGCATGGGGGGGGGGTCCCTAGCCCGGCCTGCACCCTCTCGCAATCTGGGACCGCTGACTCCTAACCACTCGCCCATCTGCCTGCCTGATTGTCCCTAACCACTCTGCCTGCCTGATTGCCACAACCACTCGCCTGCCTGCCTGATCGCCCCTAACCACTCTGCCTGCCTGATTGCCCCTGCTTGCCTGCTTGCTTGCCTCATCGCCCCAAACTGCTTGCTTGCCTGCCTGATCATCCCTAACCACCTCTGCCTTGGCCCCTGCCGCCCCAGCTTCGTCTGGAAGGACATCTGGAATGATGTGTGGAAGGTTGTTCGGCTGTCTGGTCTAATTAGCCATATTATACTTTTATTATTTTAGATGAGGATTTTTTCTATCTTGTTACTTCTTAAACCAATTTACACCATCACTAAATGGAAACACACCACGAAATCTTTGCTAAAACTTCACCATGGATGGATGTTACTTATAAAGAAGTTTCTTGGTTTAATTATATTGATGGGACTAACAAAGAAGCCAGAATGGAAAGATTACTGGCCAACTGCCCCTTTACTTGGATCACACATATTTCCATAAACTATGGCTGGAAAAAGATTCAAGAAGATACAT